ACTCCCTCCCTGGTACACAATCCCCCCGCACCCCTCCCACCGCCCCAAGTACATTCCACTATGCAACCTTAATTGTGGACTCTTGTGATAACCATAATACCTTATCATACATCGCTTTTAAATTATTCAGTTCCTCATCTGCTTCAGTGCAGTATACACAATTCATCCAGTTTTTCTCAGTCTTAACCCCACCCTAATATGAGTTGTATTTATTTATTTTAAAATAAATCTTATATGTTCCAAGACAACCCTAGAAGGAAATTTTCAAGTAGTTTCCTTGACTATCTTGTAGACATTGTTTTGACCTCTCTCTTCACTCCCCATGAAGTTTCTTGTGATATTGAATGATGGTTTTCTGGCCAAATCTTGTAGCAGAGCCTTTCCGCTTTTTCCTCTAAATTTAAGAAACTAACAAGGAAATATTTGTAGCAAGTACTGGAAAGAGGAGGAGTAAAAATAATTAAATGCTGCCATATAATTTTTGCATGCTCAACACAGATGATCCAACAGGTGGTGGTTGTTTTTGTTGTTATGTGCCATCAAGCCAGAACCGACTCATAGCTGACCCTCCAGCAGGTTTTCAGAGGCAGGAGGAGATTGACTGTCTCTCCTTTTCAGAGCACCTGGTGGATTCAAACTGCTTATCTTTTGGTTGGCAAGGCAACCCCTTACCACTAGACCAGTATTGTTATTGTGGACCCTTAAGTTGGAATTGACCCATAGATGACCTTCCAGTGAGTTTTCAGAAGCAGTTTAATTGCTTAAGTTTTTTTCCTGGAGCAGCTGGTGTATCTGAACCATGTGCCTTTGGGATTGCAGTGCAGCTCCTTACCACTAGGATACCAGAACTCCCTAATAGAGCTCCTCAAAACCAATCAAAAGGTCAAGATTTTAGCTTTTAATAAAAATATCTGTAAGGTCACCAATGGAAGGAGGAGTGGCATCCACTTCCATAATAGCTTGCCTCGGGAAACCCTATGAATCTGGACAGAGGATGAAAGGCACCCAAGCATCAAGGACACTCCTTCATAGGTTTGCTATGAGTTACCTGCTACTCGACAACACTTAACAACACAATAAGGTCACCAAGGAAGGACAGACCCAGTTCAGGCCAAGAAAGACAGTTTATTGAAGAGAAACTGCCAGGCTGCCTCTTAAGCTGAAAACCAGCCCCTACTAAAAGTTAGAGAGGGGTTTTCTATTGTCTTACAAGGAATTTGGGGAAGGGGATGCTCACAGATGCTTTTTGCAAGATAGGGAAGTGAGCCGGGGCCTCAGATAGCTATTTCTGGGAAAGGAGAGAGAGCAGTTTCACATTCTTGACAGAGAGAAACAGCCACAGCTGCTGCTTCCTGTGATTGGATCATTTCGGTGGCCATTCTAGGAGAGGAAGGAAAGGGCTCTGCAGTCCTAGTAAAATAAAAGTAGTAGTACTTTCAGGCTTAAAAATGCTTAGAATACAGATTATTTAAGAGGTAGGAAGAAATAAATAACTACAGAGAAATGGAGGAAAGTAAAAGTCATTCTTGGATGGCGAACAAGCCGTTGTTTTGTCTTGTTAAGACTATATAACCATTGGAAACAGGATATGCTTGGGGCATAACAGCTTCATTTATACAGTCACATTTTTTTCTCTTTTGTTTTTCCAGGGAAGATGGTGGATTTACCAGGGTTTGCTCTATCCAGTACACTTGCCTCTTTCTTCCTCATACTTTTGGCTGTAAAAGAACCAGGTACAATTTTCTTCTTCCCTTTACTGAATTTTCTAAAGTCACAGGAATCCAATTCAGATGTATAATTCTAAACTGAAAATCACAACATTTGAGAGCTTACACTTATAGACTAAAAGATGTCTGCTTCAAAAAAAGTTCTTCCATTTCTGAATGCATTACATTTAGAATGTTACTTGTGCACTTTACAAAACCACAGGTTATTCAACTTTACAAAAGGATTAATAGTAGTACCTATGCTTCCTTAACAAGACAGATTTTAAACTAAATATGACCACACATGAAAAGCTCTGAAACATATTCTTTATCCATTTTCTTGCTTCCATGCAGGACAGTACTTTGGGAAGTGATAGGGGGGTGAAGAAGTTGAGGCAAAGTAACATAAATATCTAAGCAACACAGAAATACTTGAACTAGAAGAAAAGTTCCAGAAACTTACTTATAAATGTAATCAGCTGAATTATATTATTAAAAATTATATTATTTAAATACATAAAAATTCAATGTTAAAAGGAAATGTCAGAGTTCCAAGAAAGATGCAGCCTGGGGAATGGGAAAGCTTTGGATAGGGTATCAGGAAATACATGATGTAGAGCCAGTAACAGCTACAAATAAGTTCCTTGACGAGACTGTCTTCACATTTCTGTGCTTCGTTTCCTAACCTGTGAAAGAAGGCTGCCTGATGGTGTGACTTTAATTCTAGCTTCATATTTAGACTCTGAATTAAAATCTTGATAAATATCCATATAAATAATATCTACTTCAGGTTGTACTGACTATTTGGAAAACATATATTAATAATGAACAACGAAAAAGATTCTTCTTGTTGTTATAATATGCCAATAAGTCAGGACTGACTCATAACTCATAACTAGTGGGTTTTCAGAAGCTGTAAATCACACAGGAAGAGATTTTTCCATCTTTCTCCCATGGAGCAGGTGCTGGGCTTGAAACATGTGTTTTTTGGACTTGCAACATAGCTCTTCACCACCAGGATAACACAGTTCCCTGTAGTTTCTTCCTAGCGCTAAATTTGCATATTCAGCACCATGACCGTAATCCTGGAGCATTGGAACGTGAGAAAGGTCAAAAAATGTTGAAATTATGAATCAAAACAGGTATCTTAAATTCTTAAACACCCAAATACTACAAAATATTGTTGATTTACAATCAATAATGAAAAGGCAAAAAAATTCCTCAAAATTTGATTAAAAAGTTAAGAACTTTTAGAAAACTATTGCCTTTAATCTCCCCAAAACACATTTTTAGAGGAACTGACTTGTTCAAGGCCTTCAGTAAATAGAGTCTTGCTCTCTCCCAAAATGGAGATTGAGGGCACCTCACTTTAATGAGGACTGAGTTGGAAAAAAGTTCTCAATCTCATCGCTGTCATTTGAACTTATTCCAATTCATAATTGACCCTCCATTGGGTTTTTGAGGCTGTTTGAGAAATGTTGATAGTTATAGAGAGGTTTCAGCCCTTTTGTTCATAGGATCGCTATGGGTAGTACTCTAAAGGCAAACAACAACAACAACAACAACAAAAACCTCATATGGGAGGTGACTGCCCATTTCTTCCCCCTCAGAGATGTGGGAGGATTCAAATCTCCAGAGACTGTCTAATGACTCCACCAGAAGAGCTCCCTGTGAGGAAAAGAGAAATCCTGAAAAGGTGAAAAATCTAATGAGTGGGTTTATGAACTAAATTTTAGTATAGATACTGTCATAAAGATAAAGCTATTCATTTGAAAAATCGGTTTACATATTACATTATTGAAGAATAATAGAAACCCTTACATAGTAGTTTCAGATAGAGTAAGTGGCTTTAAATGGGAGACATTGGGGTTCCAAGCCTCAAAGGGTCACAGAAAGCAGTGAATTTGTCTCCAAACCACACAGATACCAAGGACATATTTAGCATTCATGCACAAAGTTTTGAACTGCATGTTATTATTAGTACACAAAATCATGTCCATAACAGTCAAAATGTGGTAATCATTATGCTGGATTTCTCTAGAAAATTTAAAATTATAGCCTTTTCTCCTCCAACTGCCTCCATGCTGGACAGGCCAGATATTTCAAAGCAAGTATATTGAATCTCTATTGATTTTTCTATTTCACTCTATTTTGTAGTTGACTTTAAAGTGATTGGTCCTGCCTATCCTATCTTGGCCAAGATTGGAGAAGATGCAGTACTAACCTGTCAACTCCTCCCTAAAAGAAATGCGATAAACATGGAGGTGAGATGGTACCGTTCAGAGCTCAGCACACCTGTGTGTGTATACCGAGATGGGGCTGTGGTGACTGAGATGCAGATGGAGGAGTACAGAAGCCGGATAGAGTGGATAGAAGACAACATTAATGAAGGAAATGTGGCTTTGAAGATTCACAACATCCAACCATCTGACCATGGGCAATACTGGTGCCACTTCCAAGATGGCTCCTACAGTGCAGAAACAAGCTTGCAGCTGAGAGTAGCAGGTGAATATTTGTGAAAAGACACAGGACTTCAGAGGGAAAACAATATTTTAATGTGTGGTAAGATCATTGCCAGTTGAAGAATTTTAATCACCAAGGAAATCCCAAAATCCTAGTCTTTACTTCTGATTTATTTGAAGCCATATGGTTTTGAAGTCTTCAAAGCCAATTCACTTACAAAATATTTTCCTATATCTAGTTGTCAAAGTTTTTACTATCCTTGAAGGTTACTTGAAAATCAAGCCACGTGGCCCTTTTTGAGGGATGAACCACCCTTTGCTCCATAGTCCCTTAAGTCTTTAAACTTTCCCTATGAGAAAGGTGTCTGAGTCTTAGGCTCTATGATTTGTGCTTCTGTGACTCTAAATTTCAAGATTATGACTTCCCTCCACAGGTATGGCATCTGATCCTGACATCCATATGAAGGGGATTGTGGAGGGAGGAGTCCAGCTTGATTGTACTGCAGAAGGCTGGTTCCCACAGCCCCAGGTGTATTGGAAAAATAGAAGTGGAGAGGACATACTAACTTTCTCTGAGCACCACTTTCAAAATAAAGATGGCCTGTTCTATGTAGAATCTACTCTTGTGGTCAGGGATGCTTCTGTAGAGACTGTGTCTTGTGTCATTCACAGTCCCATCCTCAATGAGGAGAAGAAGTCAACTATCTCCATCCCAGGTCAGTGTTCTTACATCTCAGTCCAGCATACTCATGCTAACAGGAGATGTTCCAATGATTTTTGTCAAGGAAACGTACTATTTACTAATATGTTTTAAAATCTGTAAAATGTGCACAACTAGAAATATGTACACTAAAGTTTGTTAATGGAATGTGAGAACCATGAATGTAGGAAAATTAGATATTGTTAAGGAAGAAATGGAACGCATAAATATTGACATACTAGGCATTGGTGAG